TTTACTTCTCTATGTTAATACTAGAAAACAACAAAAAATAGATAAGTTTGACTGACAAAAGATGCGTAAAAGAATCATCGAGAAATTTCTATTCAGGTCAAGTTGCTAATATCAATCATGAATATATAAGAAAAGACAAGAAGAAGAAAATAGAGAAACAGACAAGAATGCTTTCTACCAATATAACTAGCAGCATCAACAAGAACCAAAACATCCCATTGGCCTACATCTCAACATTTAGCATATTGACGAAGATTTCTTTCATCTTAATCCAATATATACGCATATATGTTATTCATATATTCATCTTAAATACTCTATAATCATTTTTTTTTCTTTCTTCACCATCAATCAAAAGAAAGAAACTTCTTCGTATAGATTGTGTATATTTAGAGAGAACTTGATGACTTAATGCGTATATGTGATAGATTCGTCAATAACAAAATATTATCTATATTATGGTCTATCGATATCTTCTGTCCATGGATATCGATGTCTATATACATAGTATGATCTGTTTTGTTTTTATTTTACTCCTAGGATTGAAGAAAATGACACTACGGTGATGAAATTAAATTCTACTTGATATTCTTATCATGTTTGTTTGTGTCATTTTCATTTGTCTCATGAAATTAATATCTTTATTTTTGTCTCGAAGGTTTTAGATAAAAGTCAAATTGTTATTTGTGAATGCTGATACTATGATTTGTATGCATGCTGTTCTAGATAATTCAATTACGTCGATCTTTGTTTTATATTGTATTATTATGAGAGCATTAATATGATGGAATTAAATGATAGTCTCATATGAAATGTGGAAAAATTTGTAAAAGTTAAACTTTTTGACAGCCTGAAATTCATACAGTGATTGTTTATTTATTATTGACTTGCAAAAATATTATATCAATAATGAGCCAATCGAATTTATATTAGCTATTTTTCAGAGACAAAGAGAATTTAGAACAAAATCAACATAAACTTCAGTTTTTGAACACTTCTTAGACGATGCTGACCATGAAGACATCATATTTGTTGAATATAAAGCTGTATAAAACATTCTATGTTATTCATTAGTGTGAGATGATTTATCTTGTGCAACACTATAAAAACTCGAAGAGTCATAGTGATTTTACAGGTATCACTTTATTCAAAGCGATTAGATAGTTGATTAATGCTTCTGTTTGTTACGACTGAACTCAAAGATTCCGAATTATAATTGATCGAAAAAAATTTAACTAAATAATCGCGATATGTAACAAAAATTTGTTCATTCAAATGTGTTAATTATTCATATATTTAATATACAGACCTGATATGAAATTGTCGATGCAAATGATCGACTTACACATTACAGAGAGTATCATAGACTTGTCGGTATACTATTAGACCCTAGAAGGTTTGCGCACCTAAGTCATGACCAGGTTCAGCAGTACGTCACTCAATTGTAGATAAATCTAGTAAAATAAAGACAAAAACTAAAAATTTCAGGTAAAAAAACCAATGAACCATTCTAAAACGTTACACGTTGTAAGTATAGATACTTACTTTTATTTTAAGAGACTTACACTACTATACCGGTGTGTTTTGATCGGTAGCATATACAATTAAACCAGCGTGAAGGACTAGCTTGAGAGTAGTCTAATTCGAAAGAGTATATCAGAGCGCATTGAATGTCACTTTGAAAAGATTACTATATTAAACTTTGGTACTCAAAATCCAAAGTTTCAAATCGAAATTCAAAATTCTATTATTTTGTTGTTCCTAAGAAAAGATCACGAAGATAGCCCAAAAGCGATTTGTAAAAAGTCAATATCTCCATAGAAGCAAATTAATAACTTGCACTCTTTTAATGGTTTTCACGATTCACTAGAGTATATTGAACGCTCATAGTTCTGAGTCAAAAGCGATTTTTTTGTCTGAAAATATTCTCTTGTAAAAAGTCTGAAATTAATAGGTGAACTAAATATTATCTAATAAAATTCAAACAACTACATATTTAGGCGTTTTTCACAGACATGTTTAAACAAGTTGAAACTTTTGATCTAGAAGTTTTGTGTCATGTGATTTCATCTGAATTACACAAATTGGAGATCTCACAACAAATCACTAATCTTCATAACAAGAATCGTATGACAAATTTGGTGTTTTTTGATCCTATTCGAAAGCTTTTGTTTATCAAAGTTCAATATAATAAATTTTTGAAAATGATACACAATGCAGTCTGATATGCTCTTTCAAATAGGAATGCTCTCTAGCTAGTTCATCAAGCTGATTCGATCAACTTGTCTTATCTAACTGAGCATATTTTCTGATAATGGCATATGCTATCGACTAAAAATCACTTGCCATAAAAGTACTGTCAATATCATGAAATGATAGTTCATGATTGAAAGTATCTCTATAATAACTCGTATTATTCTTTAAACAATGGCAATTCACTGAAAAGTATAGCTGTATAAAACTCTCATAATGTAGGTGAGTACCTATACTTGAAATGTCTATATCAATAGAATGACTTGCCCATATTAGTTGAAAATTTTAGTGTTTTCCTAATTTTAGTAAGTTCATATGCTGTGAAAACATCAGCCAAAACAGTGAGATCGATTGAACAATAGGTTGCAGAAATTGATCATGACTTAAATATAATGCCTCCTAGAAGACTTATAATGTGTTAGCAGATTCTGCTTCAGTGACGTGCTTTATTCATGATTTCGAAGCCATGTAACCTATGTAATAATCCAGGTTAGGAGAACACATTTACTATATTTTTTCTTTAGGTATAATAAAGTAAAATGAATGAAATATTTACTTAAATAAAAGTAAATATTATATAAATTTTCTTCAAGTTATCTAATGAATATTGAAATTAGTATAGCAACCATTATTATGAACTTAAAGTCATAATATAATCTATATTAGATACTTCATTTTATTAGAAGAATTCATAACAATAAGTAATATATTAGTTGTCAACTAAACATTTCATTTTCACTTGGTTGACAGATTTTTTTTTTCATACTTAGATAGAGATTTTGATTCAGTTCTATCTCATCAACTCCAAATCTATATTGAAGCTAACACTATGATTTCACCTCAATTAATTCTCTTTTAATTTTAATATACCTTTTAAATAAAATCTAGTCCATGATTTACTAATGACTTATACAATTGCTCAAATGTTTCAACCAGTCAATTCAATTTTGTATTGTATATTTTGTATAGTCCATTAGACTTCTAATAATTTTTTTTTGTAAGAAAAATGTTTCACAATTATTTTTATCTGATGCACATTTCGATACCAACCGAAAAAAGAGTAACAATGTACCGGCAATATTCAGCATCCAGAAATTTGAAATTCAACAGTAATCGAGATGGAAATTGAGGACTTCAAGAAATTCGATGTAATTCAAAGCATTTTTACAATGAGGTTGACTGAAAACAAAGTGACACGACTTTGATAAAGGCGTCACAAAGATTGACACATACAATCCAAATTCAGGACCTTCAAAACAATGAAATTTACTTGATTTTCTTGAATTCTTTGGATTTCGGAGCATTCAAGGAATTCAATGCATTTTATAATGAATTAGTTTAACACACTATCATACACAATCTCACTAGCGGAGTTACAAAGACTAGCACATACAATAACGATGTGAGTGCATCAAAAATCGAATTCAATTTGATGTCCTTAAATTTTCAGTGTCTGGACATCGGATATATTTCAGTATTTAATATAGACTTCATTATGAACTTAAGTTTAGATTAATGGTTGTTGCACTAACATCAATATGTATTAAAAATTTCGAACAGAATTTATATAATATTTACTTCTATTTAAGTAGATATATACTTACCTTTTACGAAGTAAATAAGTAAACATATATTTACCATTTACTAATTAATAAGTAAATATTTTATTTACTATTTACTGATAAAGTGCCACCTATAATTTAGGCGTCAAAAATTCTAAATTTTGTTTATAATCGAACGAGACACTTCCTGGAAGAGACAAGACTCTAAAAAAAATATCTGTCTTAGACTGAAGACTTTTTTGTTCATATTGTTTCCTTGAATTTTCACTAAAATGGTTCTTGGCAAAATCACAAGATTATATTGATGCTTCTAATAAGTATATGATAATTATGTTTCTTTTTTAGCTTTTCACTGTATGACGTAAAAATATTCTAAATTAATTCAATTCAATTCTTTAAGGTTTTATATAGATGTCGCTGACGAAAAGTGCGACGATTCATGATCGCAACAGTGACGCACTATTAAAATTCCCTCACAGTTAATCATAATTCGTATAAATGTGAAAGTACAGTCTTTCTTCTTCAATGACGTCGATCAATAATGTCCTTAACAAAACTTTCAGCTGCTTTCGATATAGACAAGTCAATCAATTTACAATTCCTCGTGTGAAGCCAACAATCCTAATGACGTATAAAAAAATTCTTCTATTACCAAATTTAACTTCTAAATTGAAAATCTATTATACGTAAGTTAAGCTTCAATATATAATGTATATCTATAATATTTCAAAATGAAATCAATCCATAGCATCAAACAATAGTATTCCTTTATCTTCGACCATTTTTTTTTCACGATAGATTTGGTCTTTTCTTTATCCGAAATTTTATTCGTTTTTTTCACATAAAGCTTGTTGAACAATAGTTGAATACAATATACATGCTTGTCAACAATGTATTTACAAGGTGAAAAGAGTAACACAAATGTGCGCAAGAGCAATGATTCTTTTTAGTTTCACTAAGCTAAAAAAAGTCTAACGAACACAAAAAATTAATGATATGTTATCAAACCTAAAATCAATGCTAATCAAATAAACGCAATATAAGAAAGTTGAATAATAATAATAATAGTAATAATAATAATAATCATAATAATAATAATTTCTCACAGCAAAAATACCACGTAGAAAGAAATTTATCACTCGGATTGATAGACAAAATACCCCACACAAAAAAGAGAAAAACGGTTTAATTGCCTTCACCTTCTTCATCATCCGGTTCTAATGCATAAGCTTCTTCAGCTGACATGTAATATTTATTAGCAAGACGCCCTTTCATTGCCGCAGTTGCCATTTCTGCTGCCTTATTAAATAAATCACCTATTAATGAAAAAAACAAAGCAGAGAACATTCAATTAATTCGAATTCGACTATTATAAAAAGAAAACAAAATTACCAGCTTTTTGATAATTGCATACTAAATTATGTCCACCTGTTTTATATAAAGTAGCTAAACGAGCAACAGTTTCATGATGATCATGAAATGGAATTCCATTATCAGTTGAATGAATTTGATCTGGTTCATTAGTCCCACTATCTTCATCTAAATTATTCGATTCATTTTCACGTATACGAATATAGTTTTCATAATATTCAGCTGCTTGTTTCCAATCTTTTTCTCTAAAATAAGAAGAAAAAAAACAAATAAAAACAAAATGATTAATAGAATTAAAAGATACAAACAATGATCCCTCAATACCATGATCAAAGAATTGTGCTATATAAAGATTTGCTTCTGTTTCATGTAGTTCACTAGCACGAATCATCAAATTTAAACCTTTAGTGACTCGATGAGCTTGATCCTATGAAAGAACAAAAGAATAATTTTCTATTTTAATTATTTGTTATATTAAAAGTCTACTGTTAAACGATAATGTGATAAAAGATCACGTGGTAAATCTAAATAAATTTTTGCTAATGTAAATATAGCTTCTTTAACACATAATTCAGCTGCTAGTTCTAAATGATATAATGCCGATTCTTCATCAAAGTCTTCGGAACCTAATTCACTAAATCGACCAACTTGATAATATTTACACATTTCCAGATGAATCTAAATTATAAACAAATTGACTAATTAGAAATTATTTTTAGAAAAAAAAAAAAAACAAGAAATTTTATTAATCACCATTAATAAGAGGGTAAATAAGTTAATTGAAAAATTATTTTGTTTACAGCAAAAAAACAATCTTATGACCTTGTAGAGGTCATCGCTAACTCGAATAAATAATAAGAAAGCTTCCGATGCACAATTCCTAAGGGATCTAATAATGGAGTTGTTTAAATGATCGATGAAAAATAAGATATGGTCCAGATGATTCCAATTCCGATGAATCATATTTTGCTTTTGACTGGTATCAGCACTAACACTTTCTCATTGGAAGCAATATATTTTATGATCGTGTAGAATTTGTGTTAAATGTAGAGATCATCGGCTCCAAGAATTTCTGAATCCGGATCCGATGGGCTCCAGTTGAATGTTATATTGTTACAACTCAAGTGTTGTAAATAGAAGTATATAGGCAAGATGGTTCCGCTCATGTCTGCTTCAAAACGGATAAGATCAGTACCAAAAAAAACTGTTATTGGATTTTTTTTTCGTTTAGTTATATAGTATATGAACCAAAACTCAGAAATAAATCGTTTTTTTTTATTTTGTATTACGAATTCATGATAATGTGTAAAACTTTATTGAATATCAATATAGAAAATTTTTTTAATGAGTATGGAATTAAATCTAACTAGATCATCTAGTTTCATCTAAATGCCAAGATTAGAAGGAGCAGAAATTTGTTTAGTTTCAAAATAACACTTCTAGATTTTCGTTTTCTCC